CTCCCCTTTTCCCTATCCCTTCATTTACTTACCATCACACCCAGCAATGCCCAGGGCTTACTCCTGGCTGTGTTCACAGATCACTTCTGCTGGGATGGGGGACCATATGGGATGTTAGGATCAGGTCAGCTGTGTGTAAGACAAGTACCCTACCCACTATACCATTGCTCCTATCCCTTTAATAATTTTTAAAATTTTATTACACTAATATATATACACACCTAATTGTAGACAACTTAATAACTGTACACAATTTGGGGGGGGGTTGTTTTTGGGCCACATTTGGCAGTGTTCAGGGCTTACTACTGACTCTATGCTCAGCATTCACTCCTGGCGGGTCTCAAGGGACCTTATAGGGTTCTAGGGATTGAATACAAGTCAGCCACGTGAAAGGCAAACGCCCTACTAACTGTACTATCACTCCAGCCCCAACTAAAATGAAAATTCTCCTAAATCCGGGGCTGGAGTGATAGTATATAGGTGGGGCACTTGCTTGCATGCAGCTGGAGGATCCTTACACTCCACATAGTCCCTGGAGCCTATAAGCCTTGAGCATCACCAGGTGTGATCCAAAAAATACAAAAAATCTGTATTTTTCCAGAAAGGGAAAATAAGTGTTAACATTTTGTTTTTTCTTCCCAACTTTCCAGGGGTTCATAGGCATTTACTCGTATAGTTTTGAGTTATGACTTAAATGATGTCACGCAGTGCGTCAGGAAACCAGCAGGGGGCGCAGTAGCCTGAGTACTCAGATTCGGCCAGGTTCATGCTCCGGTAGGTCGCAACAAGAACCACAGGTCTGTAGTGGAGGTTTTTCAGAGATGAAAACCCCCTGCAGAGTTCTCAGAACTCCGCAGATGTCCTTCAGACTCTGGCTTTTCTTGTTTTATCCGCCTCCCCCCCCACCCCCGGTTTTTAGCTCAGAAGGAGCCCTGATTTCGAACAGCGTTTTATTCTTCACATTTGTAGACCCAAGTGCCAAGAGAAAGACTGAAACCACCTTTGTTTCCCCTTCTTGGTGCCCTTAACGCTCCTCCCCTTCTCTATTGTTAATGCTGTTGGGAGTACCTTGAAGCTCACCCACCTGCAGAGAGTACCTTGGAGCTCACCCACCTGCAGAGCTCGGAGCAAATTCTGGTTGTGATGCTGCTGCTGTGATCCACATGTACTCGCCAGGGGGAGCACTTCCTGGTGGTGGGCTCATACACACTATTTCTAGGGTCTTACTCCTTGGTTGCAGCTTGCTGCCCTAGGGATCACAAGCAGAGCCTCTGTGCTCAACCAGCAAAGCTGCCAGGATCATGCCCAGCATCTCTAATAGCACTAGTGATTGAATGCATGGCCTTCCCTGTAGAGCAAGCTTTCCAAGCCGCCAGCTACACCTGGGCTTATGTTCAGCCTGTTAAGCTCTTTCTGGCCTGGAAATAATTTAAACGAAAAACCATTGTAGGGCTGGAAAGACAGCACAGCAGGTAAGATGCTTGCCTTGCACGAAGTCTATTCAGGTTCTATCCCCGGCACCACATCAACTACAGGAGCCCAGCCAGGAGTGATCCCTGAGGGCAGAGCTGGAGTAAGCCCTGAGCTCTGCCAGCTGTGACCCAAAAGCAATAACAAGAAGACTACATCTTGAGGGCTGGAGCGATAGCACAGTGGGTAGGGCGTTTGCCTTGCACGCGGCCGACCCGGGTTTGATTCCCAGCATCCCATATGGTCCCCCAAGCACCGCCAGGAGTAATTCCTGAGTGCAAAGCCAGGAGTAACCCCTGAGCATCGCTGGGTGTGACCCAAAAAAGAAAAAAAAAAAAGAAGACTACATCTTAGTTAATTGCATGGTTTCACTATAATTTAGTCATTATCCTATTACAGGATGTATAGGTTCTTCATAATTTTCCCATTTATGAATATTACTGAAACAAAAAAACGGGGGCTCTCTCAAGTGGTGTTCAGGAAGCTCAGGGGCCACTTCTGGTAGTACTTGGCTAGCTAGACCATTGGTTCAATGCTAGAGCCCAAGGATGCTGTGTTTGTTAGGACTACAGGATCAACTCAACTGGCGATGCTCAGATGAGCACCATATGGGATGCTGGGTATTGAACTAATATTGACTGTGTGCAAGGCAAGTAAGTACCTTACCCATTGTATTATCACTTCAGCCCTCAGGTGGTTTGCTTCTGAATGCATGCATTCTTGCTTCTCAGACTAGTCTTTCTTTTTTTCTTTTTGGGTCACACTCGACAATGCACAGGGGTTACTCCTGGCTCATGCACTCAGGAATTACTACTGGCAGTGCTCAGGGATGCTGGGAATTGAACCTGGGTCGGCCGCGTGCAAGGCAAATGCCCTACCCGCTGTGCTATCGCTCCAGCCCCTAGTCTTTCTACTTTGAGAGAAGACCCCATAAGACTTTAAGCTCCTCGAGACTCATTTCTCCTATTCCAGAGCGGCCTGAAACCTCGGGGAAGGCTCTTTTAGGAAATGTCTAAGGACCCCAGACTAGATCAAGCTCGTTCTACCTCATGGCTCTGTCCTTGGGACCCATGGAACCAGGGATAGTCAAATGGTTAGGGTACTTGCCCAGCATGCATATAAACAGGGTTTGACTCTTGTCACTTAATGGTCACCTTAGCATTACTGGTACAGCCCTAATGGCGCTGCCAGAGGTAGGGTCTGAGGATGTGATGTAGCCTGCCTGGTGGCCAAGAATCTCAGGTGGGATCCCCAGGCCAGTTTGGGAGGTTGGGGGAAGCTAAGGGTGAAGTATCTGTGGTTCTGTCAGTAGAGAGCTGTGGCTTTCCAACTGGGGAGTGAACCAGAGCCCTATCTCAGTTTTAGACCAGGAACAGGATATTGAGTAGAAGTGACTTGCTGAAAGCCACAGAATTAGTGGGGAAAGGATTGGGTGTGACTTCTACACAGAATGTTCTTCATTATGATGAGTATCTCAGAAGTGTTCTTACCCCTTCTGCCAAGATCCATGTGTCTTGTTCCCCTATGACATAATATAAGAGTAAAATTAAGTTTTTTTTTTTTTTGCTTTTTGGGTTACACCCAGCATTGCACAGGGACTACTCCTCCTGGCTCATGCACTCAGGAATTACTCCTGGCGGTGTTCAGGGGACCAGATGGGATGCTGGGAATCAAACCCGGGTTGGCCACGTGCAAGGCAAACGCACTACCCGCCGTGCTATCACTCCAGCCCCAATATTTTTTTTTATGATTTTGTTGATGTTCTATTGAATTTGGCTTGCTAAGATTTATTTTTTATTGGATCACTGTGAGATGCAATTACAAACTTTCATGATTATGTTTCAGTCATACAATGTTAGAGCAACCATCCATTCACCAGTGCACATTTTCCACCACCATTGTTCCCAGTGTCCCTCCCACCACCCCCACCCTATCCCACCCTCTACCTTTGTGGCAGGTATGTTACTTCCTACTCACTAACTCTGGGCATTATGCATTATGGTTTGCAATACAGGTACTGAGAGGCCATCATGTTTAGTCCATAGTCTACTTTCAGCACACATCCCTCCAACCATCATTTACATAGTGGTCCCTTCTCCATCCCAACTGGCTTTTCACCCAGCACATGAGGTCAGCTTCCAAACCATGGAGTGATCCTCCTGGCCCTTATCTCTACTGTCCTTAGGTGTTAGTTTCATATTAAGCTACTTTATATTCCACAAATGAGTGCAGTGATTCTTTGTCTGTCCTTCTCTTTCTAATTTCACTTAGCCTGATACTCTTCATGTCCATCCATTTATATGCAAATTTCATGACTTCATCTCTTCTAACAGCTGCATAGTATTCCATTTGTTGATGTACCAAAGTTTCTTTAATCAGTCATCTGTTTTTAGGCACTTGGGTTTTTTCCAGATTCTGGCTATTGTGAACAGTACTGCATAAACATATAAGTGCAGGTATCATTTCTACTTTTGTTGTTGTTGTTGTTTTTGTTTTTTAATCTCTGGGATATATTCCCAGGACTGGTATTGCTAGGTCATATGGGAGCTCAATTTCCAGGTTTTGGAGGAATGTCTATATAGTTTTCCAAAAAGACTGGACCAGTTGGCATTCCCACCAACAATGAATGAGATTCCCTTTCTCCCCGCACTGCACCAGAACTGGTTGCTCTTGTTCTTAATGATGTGCAAGCTGGCTGGGGCTCTGGTCAGCATTGCAAAAAGTTAGCCGACCATTGGCATCTACAAAGATCTTGGAGGGGCAGCAAGCCACCCCTAGAGCTCACCCTCCTTCAGTGTAAGCCCTGGACAGAAGAAAGAGAGAGGGCTCAGCTGTAGAACTAAATGGGCCTCTGGGGCCCCTGATCTGTCCCTCCCGCCACAGCCAGCGAGGAGACCTTCACTCTTGAGTAAGTGAACCTCAATGGTGGCCGGTCTTGATGGCTTCACCAATGTTCCGAAAGAGGGCCAGGAAGCTGCCGAACAGGATGTTGAAACAAAACAACAACAAAATAGAAGCGTTGGTGTTGGTGTGTGGGGCACAGACTTGTGAAAGAATTCACGGAGAATTATTTCAGGCACTAGGTTTATTAGTGAACTAAGTGAACAAAGTAAACTAAGTCACTTTGCAAAATAGAGGCAAGTGGGCCATTACCCCACAGAATAAAACACACAGTTTTGTTACTTCTTTTTTTTTTTCTTCCATTTTGGGTCACACCCGGCGATGCCCAGGGGTTACTCCTGGCGGTGCTGGGGGGGGGGGGGGGAACCATATGGGATGCTGGGAATCGAACCCCGGTCCAACGCGTGCAAGGCAAACGCCCTACCCGCTGTGCTTTGGAGTTACTGCCCAGTGGTGCTCAGGCTTCAAGCCTGGCGGGCTCGGGCGCTGGGGATCCAACCACAGGCTAGTTTTCCTTCCTCTCCGTTTCCGTACAAGGCCAAGAGGATCAGTGATCGCTCTTAGCGGCCCCTGGGGCTGGTTTGGCCTGATGTCCCAGGCCGCTTAGGGCCAGCTGGATGTAAAACTTTTCTGCTAACGAACAGGCTCAGGAGCCGAGTTTCCATAGCAACTGTAACCCAAGTCGATCTCCGCGGCTGTTTCTCCCGCGACAGCCCGGACTTTGGTTCCAGCCTTCGTCTCTATGGTCCTGACTTCCTAGAAGAGCCGAAACGACACTTCCGGGAACATGGCGGCGCACGGGCCGGCTCTGGCACATGTTTCCGTGGATGGGACCCGGCAGCAGTCACTGTCAGGGTCTCCTGTCCCCGCGTAGGGGCAGCGGGAACCCAGGCTCAGGAGGAGAGTGAGCGAAGCGGGGGGAGAAGTTTCACCTAGGTGCTAACCAGGAGGACTGGAATTTAGACCTCAAGAGGAAGGAAGGAAGCCCAGGGCAAGAGCAGCCGGTTCTTTGGAATCTTACTTAAGAAGCCTGGTTCTCCAGCCCTTGTATTCCAGAAAATCCAGGTTGGTCGGAAAGGAAACAGTTCCAGGAAGTGTGTTCGCAGCCTTCAGTTCAGCAAGTAACTACTGGACGCATTTCCCTCAATTCCTGGCTCTGCGCTAAGTACGCTAAGTACACGGTTGGAGACTGAATCTCATCCCTGACCCGGTCTTATCATTTCGAATTTCTGTGACAAGAGAGATCGTGGTAAGACTTAGAGCAAAGGGTTGTTGGGAGGAATAAATGAGATAACATGTGAGTGAAGCTACTGGCTATAGCTGGTATTGAATAATTGCTGAAGCGTTTTGTCATTCAGTAACGACATATGAGGACTTTGTGCTTCAGAGATAATGTCTGAGAAGAGGCAGTTTTGAGGTGGAATTAAAGTCCTCAGTGTTCAAAGTTTTCTTCTCGTAGGCTATCAAGAAGAATGATAGGACTGTTTCTTCACTTACTGCTTTTTGTTCTCACTCTCAAGGAATCAGATTTTCAGGCAGTCATCCTTTACGATTCAAATTTGAACAGAAATGTGTCATCCTGAATTTGCTACTCTTCATACCTAACCAAATCCATCTTTTTTCATTTGGTTTTGTTTTGGGGCTAAACCCTGCGATACTCAGGACTGTGTCTGTGCTCATGGATTATTGCTGGTGGGGCTCGGGGACCCTATGTGGTGATGGGGATCAAACCCGGACTGGTGGAATAAGACACTCTGTGGACCCCGCCAGTTCTGGACTTTATGGCCAGTTGACACCAACTACTATGTGGTCAGGGAACTGAAGGACTGGGGCTCCTCACACTTCCCTCTCCATTCTAACCTCAGGAAAGAATTTGCCAACGACTTGTCCATATTGATGGATGGTTTGAGGGCTTCTTTCTTTTCTCCTAAAGGGCTGAGGGGTAATCTCTGGCCTTGGGAGGGCCCTAGGACACAACATACTTGTTACCATGACTGCCGCCCAGGAGGTCAAGAGTCGTGGGATGAAATTTGCCGAAGAGCAGCTGCTAAAGCATGGATGGACGCAAGGTGATGCCCACAGGGACCCTTCCCCATTCACCTACCCCTACCGATTCTCCACCATCATTCACAGTTACCCCCACGTGATCCATTCACATGGCATCAGAAAAACTGCTTTAAAGGGCAGTGTTCTGGGGCTGGGAAATGGCTTAAAGGGTGGAGAGCATGCCTGGTGTTGTGAGGTCCTGAGTTTGATACCCTGGCACTGCTTGTGCCCCAGAAGCTCACCAATGCTATGCTGTGTGTGGAACCCTCAGGCTTGCACTTTTGAGTCTAGTCTCACTTGGGCCCCTCAAGCAACTCTGGATGTGGTCCCCATTTCCCTGCCCCTCTCTCTAAAAAATCAGGGTTTTAGAAGGGGAGAAATATGATAGCAGAGAGGAGAGGGGAGAGAGCTGGTTGAGAGGAGAGGTGGGAGGGGGTGCATGTGGAGGAAGAATAGGAAGACTGCCCTGAAAGTTGATGAAGGGGACCCCCAGAGATAGCTCATGGGGAGGGCCATGCACTAGGCACCCCCTGTCATTGTTTGCCCTCCAATTCCAGGAGCATTGGGTGAACCCTGGGTGCCCCCTCAGTACACCTCTCAGTACCTTTAACACTGACAGCCTGGGAGTGGCCCCTGCCTGTTGGGGATGACGAGGGAGAGGCCAGGACAGTCACAGTCCTGAGCTTCATCTCCGGTACCACAAAGAAGGGAAGAGGGTTAGGAGAGGAAGACCAGTATGGACGAAGTTGGGGCATTGCACGGGAAGACATGAGAGTGGCCCTGACAGGAAGGCGCGTGCCCAGTGTGTGGAGTGGCTTGTGCTGGCAGTGCCTCCCCAGGGCTGGGAGTGGCAGCAGAAGACTCACCCCCCCATCTCCTGTAGGCAAAGGTCTGGGCCGGAAGGAGAATGGGATCACCCAGGCACTCAGGGTCACACTGAAGCAGGACACTCATGGGGTAAGACTGGGAAGTCTGAGGGAGGATCGGGGAAGGGGGCCTGCCAGGAGGGAGAAGGGGGCCTCAGTTACGATATCATCTTCTGGCAGGTGGGACATGACCCTGCCAAGGAGTTCACTGACCACTGGTGGAGCGATCTCTTCAACAGGACGGCGGCCAGCTTGGTGGTGGAGGCGAAACAGGTGTGGGCTCCATTTATAAGCACCAGAACTTGGGGCCCTGGACCATAGGGGAGTGAGGGGCATGTGAGTTGCCCCCTCAATGATACTTCCCCACAGGATGGAGTTCAGCTAAGGCGTGTGTCAAAGGAGACCCCCCGCCAAAACCATCCCAAGCCCAACATGCTGTATCAGAAGTTCGTGAAGGTACTGAGGGTCCATCCTTCCTGGCTCCCTAGGTCTCTGCAGTGGCCCCCAGTGCCCTTCCTGTTCACAGGAGCTTGGGACGTCAGACTGCCAGAGCCTTGGCTAGAACTGATTTATGCTTGCCAGGGTCCTACCTGGGATTGGGGCAAAGGGGGAAGGGAGGACAGGGGTGTCAGGTGGAAAAAGACCGAGAAGCAAGGGAGCCCTGAGAGACCTCTTCAAGGTCTCCCCTGAAGAGGTGGCTGGCGGCATGCTCAGGGATTCCCTGTGTTATCTCCCAGATTGTTTCCTCATCTCCACCTCCACATACAGCACCCCCCTCTGCTCCCACTTCATCCTAAGATCATTCTCTGGACGGTTCTCTCCAAGATACAGATAGGAGTCTCTGGGGCAGGCTGACACAGTGCAGATCAGTCACGCTGGCTCCCGTGGCCCGTCATCCTCCATTCCTGCTTTCTTCTCTCACTTTGTTTCTTGCTGTTTCTGCATCTCACACTGGGCCAGTGGAAGATTTCTCTGTGAAGACTCCATACTCTTGGTTTTTTGTTTTTTTCTGTTTTTGAGCCATACCCTACTGTGCTGAAGGATCACTTTTGGCAGGGTTTAGGGGAGTATATGTGGTGCTGAAGATGAACCCAGGTTGACCACGTGCAAAGCAAGCACTTTATCTACTGTACTATCTCTCTGGTTCCTTACCTTCAGTTTTTGTTTTTGGGGTTTTTTTTTTTTAGCCTTTGGGGTCACACCTGGTGATGCTCAGAGGTTACTTCTGGCTCTGCACTCAGAAATTACTCCTCGCAGTGTTCTGGGGACCATGTGGAATGCAGGGGATCGAATTTGGGTTGACCATATGCAAGGCAAACACCTTACCCGCTGTACTTTTGCTCTGGCCCCTCATTTCTGTTTTTTTTTTTTTACTTTTTTTTCTTTTGGGGTCACACCCAGCGATGCACAGGGGTTACTCCTGGCTCTGCACTCAGGAATTACTCCTGGCGGTGCTCAGGGGACCATATGGGATGCTGGGAATCGAACCCGGGTTGGCCGCGTGCAAGGCAAACACCCTACCCGCTGTGCTGTTGCTTCAGCCCCTCATTTTTGGTTTTTGAGCCCAACCCAGCAGTACTTAGGGCTTACTCCTGGCTCTGTGCTCAGTCAGGGGTCACTTCTGACAGAGCTTGAGTCAGGGTCAATCGTTGCCTCTGTAGTATCACTCCAGCCCGTCTTCAGGTTTTCACACATGCTGTTCCTTCTGCTTGGGACCCACTGCTGTCTTCACCTTTGCCTGCTGACCTCATCTCTCAGAGTTCAGCTACTTCTAGAAGCTGTTCCCCAGATTCTCCAGTCCGACTTGGAGACCCCTCCTGTAGCATAGCCAACAGTCACAGTGGCCTGTCGTAGGCCATACTCCTTTCCTCAGAGGACCCCACTGTGCTGGATGCACTTCATTCATGCACACCTATTCCACCCCTTGGCCCATGCTAGGGTGTCAATTAACCTACTAAATTTAGCTCTCTGGGGCTGGAGCAATAGAATGGGGGCAGTGCATTTATCCTGCACCCAGCTGCCCCGGTTCCAGCCCTGGCACTCATATGATCTCCTGAGCCCCTCCATGAGTGATCCCAGAGTGCAGAGCGAGGAGTAAGTCTTGAGGACCACCAGGTGTGCCCCCTAACAAAAATCAGGTACATAGGTATGGGGTGGAAGGTAACATTACTGGCACCACAGGACACTCATTCCACTGGGATGACCTGATGAGTCCCTTTTTTGGGGGTGGGAAGCCAAAATCCACTGGTGCTCAGGGGTCACTCCTACAGGTGCCTGAGTTCAAACTCGGTGGGCCATGTGCAAGGCTTATCTCTGTCCCCACCACTTCTGCCCACTCCACATTGGCCAGCAGGGAGGCTGGGCTGTCCCTCCTGTCCAAGTTCTATATGGAACATTATTGGGGGAGGGTCTAGTAAATTCTGGCTATGAATTCGGGGGTGGGGGTTATCTTCCAAGAGGGAAGTGGGATGGAAGGGTATTGAATGAACCCTGTCCACATCCCCATGATCCCTCCTTCTAGATGGCCACACTGACTTCGAGTGGGGAGAAGCCAGCGCAGAACTTGGAGCACTGCAGTGAGGATAACAGCCCTGGGCTCAAGCCTCCAAAGATGTGAGACTTCTGATCAGCGCTGGGGCAGGTGGGCGGAGAAGGAGCAGGTCTGCTGCTGATTGTGGTGGCACAGGAGGACTGTGCTGCCCGAATCTTCTGTCTCCTGCTCTTAGAAATCCAAGGTCCTGAACAGGAATTCAGTGTTGGGAATGTTTCAGAGGGGGCAGAGATCAGGCTGCGGGGTAGACTTTGGGCTACACCCAGCATTGTTCAGGGGTTACTCCTGACGGGTGTTCAGGGATCAGTCCTGGTGGGGCTCTGGGGACCACACAGGGTACTGGAATAGAATCCTTGTCAGCTGCATGCAAGGCAAGTCACCCTACCTGTTCTATTATCACTGACCCCCAGAAACTGCATTTCTAATCCCTGATCTCCCCGTCCCCAACAGTCTGACTGATGAGATGCTTCTCCAGGCTTGTGAGGGGCGAACAGCACACAAGTAAGTGAGGATTAGCTTGAAGGAGGGTGTGGGTGTGGGTCCTCCTTTCATCTACCTTCACTCCTCTGTGGTTCCTGGACTCATTAGCCCAAAACAGTTCCTTCACTGCCCATTTCCAAAACAATCTGAGAAGCAGCACTGCCCCCACCTGCCTTCCCCTGCCGTCTCGGCTTGAGGCCTGCTTGCCCTGGCACACCCTTCCTTCTGTTTCAGGGCTGCCCGGATGGGGATTACCATGAAGGCTAAGCTGGCTCGACTAGAGGCCCAGGAACAGGCCTTCCTGGCTCATCTCCAAGTTCAGGATTCAGGGAACCCACCACATCAGCCTGAGAGCAAGATCTCCAAAAAGAAGAAAAAGAAAAGGAAGCAGAAAGAAGAGGAAGCAGCAGCAGTCACTGAAGAGCAGGCCCAGGAGGAACACCCAGACTGTCCTGAGCAGAGCCCCAGGAGAAGCAAGAAGAAAAAACACCGAGAGCGGGTCCAAGAGGAGTTCGACGGAAGCACCATATGCTCTGGGGATGTGCAGGGGAGAGAGCAGAGTGAACAACCCCGCAAGAAAAGAAAGAAGCAGCAGCAGCACTTAGAGGAGGCAGGCGAGGAGGATGGCTCTGATAAAGCAGGTGAAGGGGCTGCCTCCAGCCCAGAGAGCAAAGCTTACAAGGACCCACACCGCAGGAGCAAGAAAAGGCGGCCTCCGGCAGAGGAAGAGGACCTGGACAGAGAGACTGGTACAGTCTGTGGTGCCAGGAAGCACAGGAGCAAAAAGAAAAGACAGCAGTATCCTGAGGAGGAAGATGCTGTAACCTTGAGAGGGGAGCGGGAGGAAGAGGAGGAGGGGGAGGGTAGGCCTCTGGATGCAGAGCTCATAGCACACACTGGCAAGAGCCATAGAGACAAAAAAAGGCGGCGACAGCCACCAGCCAAAGAAAGAACAGGTGAGTGCACAGACCAGAGAGCAAAAAAGAAGAAACACAAGAAAAAAGACTGAACTCAGGTCTGGAGGGTCCCACCCAATAGGGGTGAGGTCTCAGACACCCTAGACTTTATGGGGTCTCCCTCCTGGGGAGGAAACAGCTCAGCCAGTTACTGAGATCCCCAACTTGGGTGCTTACAGGAGCCAAGCAGAGGGGCAGATTCTGAAAGGGCCTCCTATGGGAAGCGGCTGAAAATGAGGGGCTCTGGTGCAAAGGATTGGCCTTAAAATTTTGGGATGACTCAGAAAAACAGAAATTTAAGCCTCTGAATTCAGCACCTAGGTCGGTTATCAAATGATTAATAAACCCCAGCTTGGTTCTAAGCTTGTAGTCTAAGAAGCTGCCTGTCTGTCCAAGAGTGAGTGTGTGAGAGAGTGTGAGCGTGTCCGTGTCCTCACTTGGGAGCTTTTTCCAGTAACCCCTCCTGCTCATTCTGTTCCCCGAGCACCTTATCTCCAGTGCTGCTCTCCTGTTTCCACCACTTGTCAGCTTTTATTGCCAAAAGCACTCCCAGAAGCTGCCCAGTTCCAGGATAGAGGCATTAAGTCCTGACTTGAAGGCCTGCCCCTCACTGGAGCCGAAAGACACACTCTGTGTCCGGGTAGGTTGGCAAGTTCAGCTGGTACTTCTTTTCCAGAGCAGGTGGGACAAAGCGCCCACCCAAATAGTGGTAGCGGCCGGTAAATTGTTTTGCAGACTGTTTAGGTGCTGTCAGAGAGATGAGCAAGTCTGGCTGGATCCCTGCAGAGTTTCCCTTCTCCACATCCCATCCTGGAAAAAGGGTGGCATTTAGAGAGGGCCAGTGAGAACAGTCAGTCTCCCTGTGTCCACCTGGCTCCCCCTAGTCCTAGAGGAAGATGAAGCCCCTGTATCCTACCCACAGAACCTGCATCCCTGGAGTCTTGTTCAAATGCATAAGCCATTGTGAAGGAACTTAAGAACCGTCTCCCCAACCCAGAAAGAGCCATAAACCATGTTCTGCCCTTCAGAGCTGGTCTGAGCCTAGGAATAAGAATTGGAACTCTGGGGACCACAGCAATGGTACAACAGGGAGGGCGCTTGCCTTGCATGTGGCTGACCCAGGTTTAGTCCATAGCATCCCATATGGTCCCCCATATGGTCCCCCAAGCACCATCAGGAGTAATTCCTGAGTGCAGATCCAGAAATAACTCCTGAGCATTGCAGAGTATGGCCCGAAAATAAAAAGAGGGCAGGAGTGATAGCACAGTGGGTAGGGCATTTGCGTGTGGCTAACCCAGGTTTGATCTCTGGCATCCCATATGGCCCACTGGCCTACTCCTGTACTACCAGGAATAATCCCTGAGCATCACCAGGTGTGACCCAAAACCAAAAAGAATTGGAACCATGAGATGCAGAGATAGTATAACAAGCAGGGTGCTTGCTTGCAAAATGCTGACCTGGGTCCAATTCCCAGCATCCCATATAGTCCTCTGAGCACTGCCAGGAGCAATTCCTGAGTGCAGAGCCAGGAGTAACTGAGTACTAACAAGTGTGGCCCAAAAAACTTAAACTTAAAAAAAAGGGGGGGGCAGTGGGAAGACTCTGGGTTCTATCCCAGAACCTGGTACCACATAAGGTCCCCAAGCCATGCTGGGTGTGCCCCATAACTGTGTGTGTGCGTGTGTGTATGAGAGAGAGAGTGTGTGTGAAAACTCAAACTGGAAGTCTAAATATGTGCATGCAGACAAGCAGGGTCCATCCTCCAGCCCCCACTGGTCCAGCACCTGAGGGAATGTCGATGCTGGCAATGGGCACAGTGAGCCCATCCAGGACACTCAGGATGCTGCGAAATGGCTCCCGCACATCCCCCTTGAAGCTGAAGCCAAAGATGGCGTCCACCACCAGGTCGTAGAGTTCATCGATCAGTGTGGGCTGCAGTGTGACAAGAAAAAGAAGGGGTGTCAGTACAAGTGCCGCCACCCAGAACCCCAGCAGGAGAGACCACTCAGACTGCACGGAGAGGACTTTAGTCTGTTCTGATGAGGCTCAGAGTGAACAGCCCATTCGGTCACTGGCACAAGCTGAGCTGAAACAGAGCCTGTGAGGTGTGGCCTGCTAACCAATGGGGCAGCTACCACCTGGGATAGTGAGGGGGGAGGTCCTGCTTGTGCCTGGACTATGCTTGGTTCTACTCCCAGTGCCTCAGGCTCTTCACCTACTTTTTAAAAAGCCTAGCAAGGGGACTGGAGTGACAGCACAGCGGGTAGGGCATTTGCCTTGCATGCAGCTGACTCAGGTTCGATTCCCAGCATCCCATATGGTCCCCTGAGCACCACCAGGAGTAATTCCTGAGTGCAGAGCCAGGAGTAGCCCCTGTGCATCGCTGGGTGTGACCCCCCCCCCAAAAAAAAGCCTAGCAAAAACCTGAGGGACAATACAGCAGGCAGGGTGCTTGCCTTGCGTGCAGCAGCAACACAGGGTCCCCTGAGTCCTGCCAGGAGTGATCCCTGAACACAGCCATGTTGGGGTGAAAAAATCCAGAAAATTCTAAGCTTCCAACCCCCAAAATCCATATGAGTGCTGAAAGAGTTGGGGAGAGGCCATCTTTTCAGCCGAGAGTGCTGCCTACTTGGGGCAGAGAAACAGCAGAATGAAGGAGGGGGGCTGGGAAGTGAAAGGGGCTCTACTCAGCCCACTTTAAGCCTTACCTTCCAATGCTGTTTTGTTTTTGGTTTGAGGACTACACCCGACTGTGCTCAGGGATCACTCCTGGCAGGGTTTGGGGGGCCACGTGGGGTGCAGGGATTGAACCCAGGTCATAGTCATGCAGGGCAAGCACCTGAACTTCTGTCCAAGCTCTTTGGCCCACACCCTAGTTTCTTAAGCGAAGTGTCTAGTCAGTAAGGGGGGGGGGGGGAGTGCGGCGCAAAAAGAATCTCTGGCCAATAGTAAAAACCTGATTCAAAATCAGACACGGATGCACCTCAGCTGTATCTGCAGTGCTCTGTCCATGACGTATTTCCCGGGAAACAGGTGCAAGCTGCAAGGGTTTAAGTCTTGTTGCTGCCCCCCTCCAGTGTGTGCGGGGCACTATTCTGTCCACGTAGGAATTGGCACTCAGGGGTGACACACATTCAGCTGGGGGTCGTGCAGGCGGCCAGGACTGGGGTGGGGGAGTCGGGTCCTACCTCTGCAGGCATCTCCTCCAGGAACGGGATGTTCATCTTCTGGCACTGGGTCACCAGCGCGGTGAAGAGGGGCTTGCTGGGCCTTTTCGGGTAATAGATGGCTGGCTGGTAGCCCTGCGGGGGTGCGAGGGGGTTCACGTACCAGGGGTCCCGGGCACCCCGCCCGGCCCCCCCACACCCAGGGCCCTGCCGAGACTCACGAAGAGCCGGAGGTGTCGCGCGCACACCAGCCCGTCGCCTCCATTATTCCCGGGGCCGCAGATGACCAGGACGGTGGGGGAACTCCTGGCCATGGCCTTGGGAGGGTAGGCCTGCAGGAAGAGTCACGCGGGGTCGGGGGGCGGCGGGCGGCGGCAGCGCCCCCCGCCCCCCAGGAAGCCCCGCGGCGCGCGGCGGGCCACCGACCTTGGCGATCGCGGTGGCACAGCTCAGCCCCGCCAGCTCCATGAGTTGGTCCACGCTGAACTGGTACTCGTTAAAGAGCTCCTCGTCCACGGCCTGGGCCTCGGCCTGGCTGAGGGAAGCCGCGCCTGAGTGGGGCGTGGGGCGCGGGCCGGAGCCGAGCCGAACCGAACCCCGCGCACGAACCCAGCGCCCGCGCCCGCCGCGCCTACCTCAGGTACTTCACCGTCGCGCTCGCCATGCGCTTCGAGGCCCCGCTGTCCCCCGAGATCGGTCGCCGCGGCGCCCAGAACGCAGGGGCCTCGCGTGGACAGGTCCCGGCCCGAGCTCCCACGCGCGACAGGCGCGAGCCGCCCACCAGCAGCCCGAAGCTCAGCAGCGCCCGCAGCCCGGACATGAGCGCGCAGAACCGCCCCCGGCCCGACCCGGCCCGCGCATGCGCCGTTCCCGACTGCCCTGCGCCTGCGCCGCCCCTTCCCGGCCCGCCCTGCGCTTGCGCCGCCCTCTCCACGGCGGCCCCCGCCCCCCCCACCCCCCCCACCCACTCCCCCCGGCCCGGAGGTGCGAGCTACCTGGGACTGTGAGGGCGGGGTGCGGTGCTGCGCGCGCTCGGGGGTCACCGGCTCCCCCGCTTGCTCGAGAAGGCTTTGTCCTAACCGCCCTTTGAGGGGACTTTCTGTTTTGCTTTGGGCCACACCCGGCGATGCTCTATGTTCTACGCTCTACGCTCTTCTGGCTCTACGCTCAGGGATCACTCCTGGGAGTGCTCAGGGGACCTTATATGGTGCAGAGGATCGAACCCGGGTCGACCCGCGTGCAAGATCAGCTCTTTAGCCGCTGTGCTATATCTCTGGCTTCCACCCCCGCTTCGCAAATCCTTTGTGTGTGTGTGTGTGCGTGCTAGGGATTGAACCTAGGGCCACATACATGCAAAGCATACACTATCGCTGAGTTGCATCCCATGCCCAGTCAAATCTCAAATCTTAAATAAGTCGAAGATGTCGTTGAAACATAGACCCCCAGGTCATGCATGATTCAAGGGAAATCCTAAAAAGGATGACTTATTTATGTTTTTTTGCACAAGAGCTTTTAAAAATGCAAACACCCGCTTGGATGATAAGGGAGAAGCTTGCAGAATATCAAATCAGTCATTAATAAGGCACTAAGATAAAGATAATTATCCAGGTGGCATGAAAGTGTTGATCTTAATGCTGGATTTCTTATTTCTTCCTCTCATGAATTGCATTCCTGGATAGTTAACTCTTCAGGCATTTTTAACCACTCCTGATTTTCTCCCCTGTAATTATAAGAAGTTTATCATCTACAGTGTTTACTCTTGGCCTCCAGCTATGCTTGTTTGCTTGTCTTATTATATGTTTGTTGTAGGAAATTGAATTTCTCAGACTATTATTGTGCTGGAAAATTGTTTTTGTTAGACTATGTGGTTTTGTTAGGCTATGTAATAAGCATACGGTGTATGTTACTATTGGACAGTCTTTTTTTTTCTTTTTGTTTTTTTGTTTTTAAGTCATATACCAGGTGGTGCTCAGGGCTTATTTCTGCCCAGGCTCAAGGGTCACTTGTGGCTGTGTAAAGGGGGGGATTAAACCTGGTCTACTGCATGCAAAGCTTGAGAGCTCCAGCCCATTAAACCATCTGTCCCACTCCACAATTAGTCAGCTCTTACCTTAGATCTCATTACCATGATAACTTTGCAGTGTCTGAGGAGCTGCTCTGCTCTGTAATTGTCAGCCTCCCTGCAGATGTGTTTGAGAAAATTAATGTGGTGATTTTGAAGATTTCTTTCTACTTACTTTATTCCATCTCTCTCATTCCCTTTGTTGTTGATGTTATTGTGTGACTCGGGGTGCCACCCACACCTGGCTCACACATTTTCAGTGGTGATGTTTTCCAGAGGCTACACATCACATCTCTGCGGTACTCAGAGATGGTCGCATCCCTTTAGCTGTGTCTGCACATGTCCTTTCCAGGGCTTGCCCTCTTGATGGTTCCATGGGGGGTCTCAGGAGTGCTCACAAACCTGCCCACCAGGTAGCATACTTCCTGGGTTCTGATGTCCTTTGTCATGCTCATTAGGGATCATGCCCTTTTTGTTGTTTTGGGGTCACACCTGACAGTGCTCAGGACTTCATCCCAGCGCTGTGCTCAGGGGTCACTACAGGCAGGGTTCAAGGGATAATAAGGGGTACTAGGGTTCAAACCCAGCTTGACTGCATGCAAGGCCAGTGCCCTACTACGGGGGTCACTCTTCTTTTTTGTGGTGTTTACACATACCTGGCTGTGGGGTGACCAGAAATCACTTGTGGCCACACCAGGGACTTCAGACAGTGGGCTGCCAGGACTGTGCTTGGCACATGGAGGACCCTGGGGATTTGGACTTGTGACTAATCAGCCATTGCACTGTGCCAGGGGGCTCTGAAGGTCATTCCTAGCCCACTACATGAAGCACATTTCTAGGACAGAGGTGACATTTTGAGTGATTCTAGGTGTCCAGTATCAACACGAATGGTTTGGGTTGTCTATGTAATAATATATTTTTTTCACAGCAACCATTATAATATTCCCTTGTTACACTTGGCTCAGAGATATTATTGACATGCCCAATAATAACAGTCAGTGGAGCCAGCCTGCCCTAGAGTCAGAATTTTTTGCTTAATTATTTGGTGGTTTTGGCCATACTCAGGACTTCCTCCTAGCTTGGTGCACAGGATCTCCTGGCATAGTTCACCTATAGGTACTTGTGACCAAACCAGGGTTAATAGTGCAAGGCAAGTGCCTTATTCATTGTACTCTCTCTGGCCCCCAAACATTATTATTATTATTATTATTATTATTATTTTGAAGGTAGGACAAAAGGACCCCACCTGGTGAAGTATGGGGTATATTCCCAGCTTGGTGCTGGGGGTGGTTCTTTTCCAGGGTGTTTTTTCTGGCCCACTCAGTGCTGGGGATGGAACCTGTTTACAAAGCATACACACCAGCCCTGTGAGCCATCTGGCTAGCTTGTGTTATCACAAACTTTTATGTACAGAACAACATCTTTAATTCTCCTACTCCTTTTCAGAGCTTGTTGCACAAGGCTGTCTTCTGCTCCACCTCTGCTGTCTGGAATGGAAAGCCTCCTGACAATGCCAAGGGGCAGCCAGCTGCCTCCGATCCTGCTTCCATAAGTACATAACAGTAAACCATGCCCTGACAGCCCAGAGCTAGGACAGGGGATGGTACTTGCCTTGCAAGGGACTGACACTGGTTTGACCTCTGGCACCACACAGAATTCCCCACGCACTACCAGGGGTCATTCCTAAGCACAGAGCCAGGAATAGCCCCATGAGCATTGCTAGGTGTGGCCCACAAACAAATAAAATAAGCAAACAAATAAACCATGTCTCATCTGACTCTCTGACTCTCAGCACTTTCTTGGGAATTGATAATCATCCTGCTCAAGTTCTCCAAGTATTGGGTTTCCAGCTCTACAGACATAAAACTTATCCCTTGGGGGCCAGAGAGATAGTTCAGGCAGTAAAGCATTTGCCTTGATGCAGCTGACCTGACCCTGGTTTGATTCACAGCACCACATAGCATCCCCCAAGTATCACCAGAGTTTACTCCTGAGCACAGAGCCAGGGATAGTCCTGGAGCATGGCAGGTTGTAGCTACAAACTTCCAAACTAAAGCACTGTGCCCGAGTGATAGTACAGTGGGGAGGGCACTTGTGTTGCATGCAGCTGACCCTGGTTCAATCCCCAGCATCCCATATGGTTCCCCGAGCACCGCTAGGAGTAATTTCTGAGTGCAGAGCCAGGTGTAACTAACCCCTGAGCATTGCCAGGTGTGAGCCCACCAAACAAAACAAACCAAACGAAAGCACTAACAAAGCATAAGAGGGAGTCACTCAAAGGTGCTGGAGTATGTGCATTGCATACAGGAGCTCTGGATTCAGCCCCGACCACAACATGGTCCCTGACCATCTCTGGGAATGTTTCCCAGGCTCCATGCCAGAAGAAGCCTGAGCATTGCGGGTGGCCCCTCTCAAATATTCTTACCGCATGCATCCAGATTTTTAAAGAAACATGGAGGGCTGCCCTCAGGATGTGGGGTGCTTGAGGTGTTTCCCTGAATCCTAAGATAGACCCTTTAGAACTGTGCAGTTTTCACTGGGAAATAACTTTATTTATTTATTTGCTTTTTGGGTCACATCCGTCGATGCACAGGGGTTACTCCTGGCTCTGCACTCAGGAATCACTCATGGCAGCGCTTGGGGGACCTATGGGGTGCTGGGAATCGAACCCAGGTCTGCCGCATGCAAGACAAATGCCCTACCCGCTGTGCTATCACTCCAGCCCCTGGGAAATGACTTTAAAACCAACTTGGATTGTATATAATTGATCCAGATTCGATCCCCAGCTTCCCATATGGTCCTCAAAGCCCCACCAGAAGTAATCCCTGAGCGCAGAGCCAGGCATAAACCCTGAGCACTGCCAGGTGTGGCCCTAAAACAAACCAGAAAAGGAAGATTAACAGCTGCATTCCAGAACCTAGCTCTGTGCTGGCACACAGTGGGATCTCTGTGTAGGATATCATTGGTTGTCCTTGCTACAGAGAGCTTAGGTTTTTTGAATGATACCCATCACAGTGCTCCTGAAGCACCTCAATTCCTCTGTGTTTATTGGAATGTAGCTCTAAACATTTTAGGATGATATTGGTATGTCCTGTTTCCCTTGCCACGAGGAACTCAGGTTTATCACGTGCTCCTGAGGCACTTCCGTTCCATTATGTTTATCTGTAAACTCTTCCCTATGCTCTACTCCCCAACCAGTTAATCAGCTTTCCCCCCAGTCAGACTCTATAATAACTCTTACAAGTTATTCTATAACTTGTAAGGTCAGATTCTTCAGAAATCTATGATTTTATATGTATGAGTGAAATATTGCCTTTCTCCTCTCCTTATGTCTTTTGAGTAGTTTATTTTAAAGCAATGTCCTTTTTGTATAGATACAGGAAGACAGTTATTATTATGCTTTTGTAACTTGGGGTTTAATTGACTTCGAATATTATTCACTCCCAGGCATCTGCTTTCTCGACTTAAGCCTCAGTTGCCCTTAGTTCCTAGCACCCCAAAAACAGGGTCCTGATGAGGGACTGAATGGACCCAGGGCAAGCTGTGAGCTACCCTGGGCCAGGCCAAAGTGCCACGATACTCAACTATAAGTTGAGAGCTTGGTCATTTGACAAATGCTGTCATGATCTAAAAAGTAACAACGAGATTAGAAACATGCTAGGGATAGGGAAGGCTAATCTGGCGTGAGCACTGTAGTCTGAGATCAAGATGACCCCAGGAGAGTGATTCTATAAGCTTAATGTATCTCTTACTGTGCCCATACAAAATGATTATTATTTATAAATGTTTATATGTTTGTTGGACTAAGGAGGGGAGAAACACACACATATTTGCCTTAGGCCAGTCGTCTTGCTGGGTAAGAATCTGTCCTGGAAGTAGCTTCCCCTAAGGGAAGAACCTTACATCTGCTGATTGTGTGATGATGATACCTATGTGTAATTGTTAGCCCAACCCCTCATGCTGGGAGATTTAACTAGATTGTAAGAGTGGACTGGGAGATCCAGATGCTAGAGCCAGAAGGACAATGAAGGGGGATCGAGGAGGAGAATGAAGTAGCATGGGGGAGGAAGAAGCAGGAGGAGAATTAGAGGAGAATGGAGATGGAATTGGTATAAATGGCAATTCAGACCAACCAGCCTGGCCCTCATTCCTTCCATCGCCTGCCCATCACCATCCACCTCCCCGGGGTAGGGGAAGAGGCATGAGACTACCGACCGCAGGCAGCAGGAGAGATAGAGCGCCATTGCCCTTTTACGTTAACACATCTCTGCAGATTTTTTTCCCCATCAGGTGAATGATGGTTACTTTTCATCTCCTTTCTTGCTAAACTTCACTAGGGATGTATCATCTGCAGTTTGCTGTTTGTTTCCATAAGGTGGGACAAAAAAAACATTATTGCCATGTTTGAAGCAATCTGAGTTCATCTAGATTTTCATGACTTTTCGCATCTATAATAATCATGACCACATCTAATTCGACCATTGTTTTCTGTTATTACTTTTGCTGTTATTGTTGTTTGGGGGCCACATCCAGCAGTGCTCAGGGCTTACTCCTGGCTCTGTGCTTAGGGATCAATCCTGGCAGTGCTTGGGGGTTCATGTGGGGTTCCCCGGATCAAGCCTACATCAGTCACATGCCAGGTAAATGCCCTGACTGTTGTACTATTGCTCTGGCCCCATATTCGTTGTTTTATTTTAATTTTATTACAGTGGTTCACCTTGGGGCTAGAGCGATAGCACAGCAGTAGGGCGTTTGCCTTGCACACAGCCAGCCTGGCCGAGCCAGGTTCGATTCCTCTGCCCCTCTCGGAGATCCCAGCAAGCTACCTAGAGTCGACCCACACGGCAAAGCCTGGCAAGCTACCCATGATGTACTGGATATGCCAAACACAGTAACAACGAGTCTCACAATGGAGACGTTACTGGGCCCGCTCGAGCAAATCGATGAACAAAGGGGGGCACAGTGCAGTGCTACAGTGGTTCACCTTAATCATGCTTCCCAAGGTTGCCACTTTGTCGTCATAGAAACAATGCTTGTTTTCATACCCTTTGTTTATCGGTACAATATTTAATTAAGTCACAATAATACATACAACAGGCTTAAACAGGTTTGGTAGCAAACACACACCCTATCCCAGTCGGGAGGGGTCAGGGCCGCATTCTTGAGGGTGCACAATACGCAGTGTAAAGGCTCTCGCTCACCAGCGGTGCTAGGGGCTGAGTCCTAAGCTTAGTGCTTCCCTTGCTCACCTGTGACAGGAAGCAGGTAATAATAGCTCCATGAGGGCTGACTGAGGACTCAGGAGCAAACACCGAAAGGCCTTTAGAACAGCACATGGCCTGTGCCAGGTGAATGTACAGAAGGGACCACAGGAACTGTTGCCAGTCTTGGCCCAGAGGCTACTGGTTTGAGGAGCAGCTCCCAAGCTAGTCTCAGCCAGAAGTGGCCTGCGCTTGGCAATGATGTATCCGCTGCAGGATTCTACCCAGTTTCCCATATGAGACTGTGAAGATCTGGGAAGAGTTAGTGATTTCCAAGTCTCAATCCAAGGGGCCGGAGGGATAGGATAGCAGGTAAGGCACTTGCCTTGCACATGGCTACAGTGGGTTTGATCCCTAGCATCCCATATGGTCCCCTTAGTACTGCCAGGAATGATCCCTGAGTGCAGGCAGGTGTGGCTAAAATTTAAAAAAAAAAAAAAAAAAACAAGCTCCAGAGCAGCTGTGTGCTGAGTGCTCAGAGCTCACCTGGACAGAAGTCCACTTCTGGACAGATGCTCCTGAGTCAACACAGCGTGAGCGACCAGGAGGAGCTGGTTTGAACACCCTCAAACGTGTGGTGGGAGGAGCCTCAGGGGGAGGGCTGTGGTGGCAGGGAGCGAGGCTCACGTGATGATGCAGAGGCCAGACTCAGGGGGTCTCCTCTCCGGGCTCCGGCGGGGTGCTTCCCGTCTGGATGATCTGAGGGGACAGGACGGTTTGCCAGTGGGCGTGTCCTGCACGGGCTCAGGCCACTCTGCCCTCTCTGCGCCTCACCTGTGCCGCTGGGCTCCTGGGTGGGAAGGCCAGGCCTTGCGCTCTGAGCCCCACAGCTCAGCAGGACACTCCCTTGCTCTGAGGGCTACAGTCCTTGGGACCCTCCAGGCCCCTGGAGCAGGATGAGTGTTGTTCAGATTGCTGTAGGACAAAGGCAAGAACGTTCTGGACTGGACATCTCAAACTCCAGATCCCATGCCTCCTGCCTTAAGTTATTTAAATTTTGTTATTATTCATTATCATTATTATTGCTCCTGGTGGGGCTCAGAAGGACATGTGGGGTGCCAGGGATCAAACCTGGGTTAGCCTGTGCAATGCAAACACCCTACTCACTTTACCAGCTTTCTGGCCCCTTTTTATTTTATTTGTTCTGTTTTCGGGTCATCTCTTTCTGAGCTAAAGGCCTATTCCTGGTTCTGTGCTCAGGGCTTACTCCTAGCTCTGTAATCAGGGATCACTCCTAGTGGTGCTCAGGAGACCTTAAGGGAGGCCAGGGATCAAACCAGGTTGGTGGCGTGCAAGGCAAGTGTTTTCCCCACTGTGCTCCCTCTCCAGTCCCTCCCTCACCTTCAAACACTGAGCAGGACCTGTTCTAATTACCCACAGCCACCTCTTCTCCTCCCCCCTACCCCATCCTCCAGGGACCCACCTATTGGCTTGGGATCCGCTGCGTCCCAGAGTGTCAGCCTCCTCCATGCTGGGGGCAGCTCGGCCTCCTGATGGGAGCTGGGCCCTGGGTCCTGGATGGAGTACAGAGACAGATTCATCACAGGCCTCTGTGCACTGAGAAACAGCAGGATAGAAGAGAGAAAGTTCAAGAAGAAGAAGGGTGGGCCACAACGACTGAGGTCACTGCAGACTGAGAGATGCGAATGGCCAAGCTTCGACCTGGGTGCTGAGTGACAGGGATGCTGATGAGAACAGGGACTCACTCCCAGATGGGGGAGGCAGGAGCAGTGGCCCAGCCCAGGCCAGTGCCCAGGTGCTCTTGCAGGTTTCCACAGGCCCTGCTGGGAGAGACACATGTTCCAGGGTAGGGGGTAGGGGGGTGGAGGCTCTGGGGCAAGATGAGGCAAAGCCAGAAAAGGTTCTCCCCGGAAAACCAGGCCTGAGTCTCCAGACATAAATGCTGGGATTGGGGGACTGGAGCAATAGCACAGCGGGTAGGGCATTTGCCTTGCATGTGGCTGACCCGGGTTCGATTCCCAGCATCTCCTATGTCCTCTGAGCACTGCCAGGGGTAATTCCTGAGTGCAGAGCCTGGAGTAAACCCTGTGCATCACTGGGTGTGACCCCAAAAGCAAAAATAAATAAAATTAAAAAAAATAAATGCCGGGCCAGGTGGGAACTGGGGGGCTGAGGTGGGCAGAGAATAAGGGGGCTTGGAAAAGTACCCCACAGTGACTCACGCTCCGGTCTCAGAGTCCAGGACATGGTGGGAAGCTTTCCTGGCCCCTCTTCTTTCTCCTTCTGGTCTTCCTCTAACTCTCGGTCTTCCCATGATCGCAAGGACCTGCAAAGACAGGGAACAGGCAGTCCTGAGACACCCAGTCTGGGCCTTCTCTTTCCAGAGCTCCCACCCTTCCAGCACCCCCTGCCCCTCACCTGTGCTGCACTTCTGCTGCACTGTGGCCCACCCTGGGTGGAGGACAGGCTGGGAGGACCCTACCTGCGGCCCACGTCCTTCCTGAATTGGAGGTCTAGAAAAAAAAAAGTGGAGGAATGAGGACCCGTATGAGAAAAGCAACTTTTAGCAGAGATGTGATGAGTGAGGGAATGTTCTCTGCAAACACAGTGGCCCCGAGAAGTTGGGCGTGTGGGAGACAATTTGGGTGTGAGGTGTCTGGAGCCAGAAGTGTGACCAGATAAGGGGCTGTCTCACCTGGTAACTCAGGTTAGAAGCCAGGATCATCTGCTATCAGAAAGAACCAGGTATGACCACCCAGCATACCCTCCTGCATCCAGGTGCAAAGACACAGGAAGAAGGTAACTGGTTTATCACTCGACCCCCAGTGCAGAAAGATAACTGACCAGGATAACTTAATAGTGTCTGGAAATAATGAATATGGGGCCAGAGAGAGAGTATGGGGAAGTGGAAGTACAGCTGATCCCGGGATGATCTTTAGTATCCCACCTGGTCCCCATTGGTCTCATGCAAGGAAAGTGCTGTACTATCTCTCTGGCCATGAGCTCTTTATTTTTCAATTTAAAAAATTTTATTTTTGGATCAGAGCGATAGCACAGTGGGTTGGACATCTGCCTTGCACATTCCTAACCTGGGATCAATCCCCCGGCATCCCATATGGTCCTCCAAGCACCACCAGGAGCGATTCCAGAGTGCAGAGCCAGGAGTAACCGCTGAGCATTGCTGGGTGTGACCCAAAAAATGCTAAAAAAAAATCTTATTTTCACTTTGCTTTGGGTCCACGTTTGTCTGTGTTTGTCCTGGCTCTGTGCTCAGGCATCACTCCTGGTGCTGCTGGGGGACCGTATGTGGAGCTGGGTATCAAATCTGGTTGGCTACATGCAAGGCAAGAGTCTTCCCTGCTGTACTAGTTCTCTGACCTGAAGAATCATATTTTATTTATTTATTCTTGTTTGCTTCTGGGCCACATCTGGCAATGCTCAAGCATCATTCCCGGCAGTGCTCAGAGTGCTCAGGAGACCATATGTGATGCAAGGATCAAACTTGGGTGGGTCCTGTGCAAGGCAAGCATGCCGCCTGCCATACTCTCTCTCCTGCCCCACGAATCATATTTTTATTTTATTTTTATTTATTGAATCACCATGAGGACAGTCACAAAGTCTTTCAGTTTAAGTCTCGGTCGGTCATACAATGATCAAACACCCGTCCCTTCACCAGTGCATATTTTCCACCACCAAGAACCCCAGTATGCCCCCCTCCCACCCATCCCCGCCTGTGTGGCAGATTTCCACTTTACTCTCTCTCTCTATGTTGATCACATTCAATATTATGACAAAAGATTCAACATTATTATTTGGAATTTTCCCCAACATTCAGACCTGCCAAAAAGAAATCATTAAATAATTTGTTTTCTATTGCTGAACAAATCATATTTTAAAAGTCCCAGGTCCTTGGCTTGAGAATAGCCCCCCAAATAATAACCTGTGTATGATGTCCTACTCTTTTTTTTCTGCTTTTTTTGGGGGTCACACCCAGCGATGCTCAGGGATCACTCCTGGCTCTTCACTCAGGAATTACTCCTGGTAATGCTTGGGGGACCATATGGGATGCTGGGAATCGAACTCAGGTCAGCCATGTGCAAGGCAAATGCCCTACCCGCTGTGCTATCGCTCCGGCCCTGTCCTACTCTTTAAAACAAATTTTATTATTATGTTTTCTCTTTGGGTCACACCCAGCGATGCTTAGGGGTTACTCCTGGCTCTGCACTCAGGAATCACTCCTGGTGGTGCTGGGGACCATGTGGAATGCCGAGGATCGAACCCCCGGTTGGCCGTGTGCAAGACAAACACCCCACTTGCTGTACTATCGCTCCGGCCTCTAAAACAAATTTTAAAAAAGACCTAAAACTCATTAGATAAATATAGTTAGCATTAAAGGACAATCTCAATTCTTGGGGTGGGAGGTTTCTTATGGGTGCCTTACTATGTGAGGGAGAAGTTAGTTAGAGATTTGAGGAAAGAGGCCGGGAGATGGAGCCAAGTGGAGAAATGTCCCTTGGGGAACCCAGATATGAAGAATGTCCTCTGAGCACTGTTGCCACCCTGTGGCCCTTTTGGTAACTGCAGCCAAAGACTTAAAATGCCTTCTCGGTTCTGGCTCAGGATGCCTCTCTGCACCCCTGGCATTTACCCACTGGATTTAATTTCTACTAAGCAAAGTCCTGGCACAACCCAAGCGTTGGATACATGCAGAACTCTCCTCCCAGATCTTCACTCCAGCTGGCGGTAGGGAAAGTGACACTTGATACATAACCGAGATGTGACAGCCCAGCAGACAGAGTGTGTCCCCTCTGTTCTCCACACCCCTCCTCCTGGCCAGCTCCCCCTGCTCCCAGCAACTTGTTCGGGGTCCTCTTACCTGGGTGTGAGTAGGGACCAGCCCACCCCGGGCCACATGTGTCCTCACGGCGTCTGCCAGCTTTGCCACCAGTCGCTCACGCACAGAATCTGACTCTTTCTGTGGGGAGGGTCGATAATGGGGGGCTGGGAAAGGTCTGAACATTTCAGGCCTTTCCTCAGGGGACTGCAGAAAAAAGAAATAGAAAAGAGGGCCAGGAAGAGGGATCAAACGGTCGAGCGCAGACCAGAGAGATAGTCCTGGGGCAGGGTGCTTGCCTTGCATGCAGACCACCAGGCTTCAACCCCCAGTACCCCACATAGTCCCTTCAGCGCTGTCAAAAGTGATCCCTGAGCACCACAGGAAGCTACCCATAAAGCTAACAAGCAAAAACAAAAACAACAAAAAAGGTCAAAGATGTGATTTGGATGTGGGAGCTACAGTTTGGTCTCTGGCACCATAGTTTTTTTTTTTTTTAATTTTTCTGTTTATTTTGGGTGGGGGCAAAATAAACAGAAGTGACAGTGTTTATGGCTTACTCTTGGCTCTGTGCTCAGGGATCAATCCTGTTGGGGTTTGGGGGAATCCTATGGGGTGCCAGGATGGAATCCAGGGAGCTATGTGCAAGGCCAGCACCTAACCCTTTCTCTCTGCAGCTCCCCTCCAGTACTGTATGGTCCCACAAGCAGGAGTGACCCTGAGTGCCACCAGATATGAGCCCGAAACCAAAGCAAAATAAAGAGGTTCCCTGAGCTCCACCAGGAGCAGTCACTGAGAGCCAGGACTGCTGAGTATGGCCCCAAGGGGAAAAAATAGGAAAGAGAGGAGGGGAGGGGGTTTTGTCTTGTATCTCCTTGACCCATCCTTTGCCTGGCCCCCACTGCCCACCCAGCACTGGGGGCAGATATGGGCTCTCCCTCCCCTGAAGTGCATGTTTCAGCACACTGGACAGAAGAATGACACAGAGAGGACAGGGGGAAAGGCAGGAGGGGCTGCACTGCAGGCAGGTGAGAAGTGACGGTTCCAGCTGACCCGGGAGGGCCTTACCTGGCAGTGGGCCAGTGCATCCTTGTAGTGGCACACAGCCTGGTCATGCTGGCCCAGTCGTGCTGCCGCAGCCCCCAGACCCTCACAGGCCTGCCACTGACCCTTCACGTCCCCTGCGAAAGACAAACTCGAGGTCCACTTATGGGATCCTGTCCCACTGATCCTTCCTCTGCTGAGCCTCCCATCCCAAGTCCTTTTCTTTTCTTTTCTTTTCTTTTGTTTTGTTTTTTGGGTCACACCCAGCAGTGCACAGGGATTACTCCTGGATCATACAGTCAGGAATTACTCCTGGCGGTGCTCGGGGGACCATATGGGATTCTGGGAATCAAACCCGGGTCGGTTGCATGCAACACAAGGGTTACCCACTGTACCCCATCCTAAGTCCTTGCACTCTCCAAGGAATTTTTTTTAAGGCCACACCTGGCAATGCTCAGGGTTCTCTTGGCTCTGCCCTCAGGGGTCACTCCTGTCAGGGCAGGACCCTGTGCAGTGCCCAGGATCAAGCCATAGTGGGCTGTGTGCAAGGGAATCACCAAACCCACTGTACCATCTCTCTGGCCCTCCAGCCACCTGCTAACCCTCAGCCTCACCAGTGTCCCGGGCAGCCTGCAGCGCGTGCAGGAAGTTGTCTCGGGCAGCCGTGTGGTCCCCCAGCTGGCTCAGAGCATATGCCAGACTGCCAAAGCTCCGGCCCTGCTCCCGCCGCTGGCCCACAGAACCTAAGGATAGATCCATCCTGAGAGGAGACCCGACATCCAGGTCCCTAACCACTGAGGATGGGCCCCGGCACCACAGCAACCTTTAGGTTCACTCCTGAGGTTCCCTCAGCCCTCGATGCCTCCAGCCTGCTCTGGGTCCCGCTACAGCAAGGTGCAGTAATATATATATATTTATATTTTGGGGGGGTTACACCCAGCGATGCTCAGGGGTTACTCCTGGCTCTGTACTCAGGAATTACTCCTGGCGGTGCTTGGGGGACTATATGGGATACCAGGGATTGAACCCGCGTGCAAGACAAATGCCCTACCAACTGACTGTACTATCGCTCCGGCCTTGAGGTGCATTAATATTAAGGACCCTTTTATGTCCCTCTGTTCTCAGGACTTCCTCCTGGCTCTGTGCTCGGAGTCACTCCTGGTGGGGGCTCAGGACCTTTTGTGGTGCTGAGAGTCAAATCCAGGCTGGCCTTGTGCAATGCAAGTGCCTTAACTCTATACCTTCTCTTTGGCCCCAGAAAGACACTTTATTTTTTGGTTTGGGGGCCACACCTGGAGATACTCAGGGCTTACTTCTGGCTCTGCAACCAGGGATTCCTCATGGCAGGCTTGAGGGGACCATATGGGATTCTGGGAGGATCGAAATGGGGCCAGCTGCAAGCAAGCCAAGGGCCCTACCCGCCTCTCTCTCTCTCTCCAGCCCTAAAGATCCATTTTTTAACTTCCACAAACTGAGTCAGAGAATGAGACTCAGCCATTCAGTAAGCTGGAGGACATCCCTCTGTGCCCTGAGGCTTCCCCACCCAATCACGCCTCAGCCCAGGTCCTTGCTTGGTCCTATCTGGCTAGTCCATCTTCCCAGGCCCGACAGTCCTGCTTCTTCCTCAGTCTCGGGGTGCTAGCTGAACCTCCTCTCCATCCCTCCGTCCACTTCGTTCCCACCTAGACCTACCGTGCAGGTTGGCGGCCTGCTGGTGATACTCCCGCGCTTCCTGGTAGTTGCCCAGGGCATTGTGGGCTGCCCCGAGATTCCCCAGCACTGTGGCCTCCTCGGCTGGCCCCTGGCACAGGGGCAGGGCCTGCAGGAAGGCCTCTGCGGCCAGAGGGAACAGCCGGAGCTTGGAGTAAGCCAGGCCTAGATCATTGTAGAGTTGACCTGTGGAGATGGGTCTACCAGGTCAGATGCCTTCAAGGCCGCGTGGGGCAGCCCTGTCCCCCTGTTCCCCCCCTCCCCCAGCCCCTTCCGAGCCCTTGGGGACACCTCTGCTTTCCTTCCACCCCTCAGTGGTACCAGACCCCGAGCTCTTACCCAGCAGTCCCTGCTCCGGGCTCCTCTCAGCGAATGCCCGGCTTTTCTCCAGCACTTGCACCACCTCGCGCACCCCATGCTGCCCGCTTGCCAGCATACACCCGGCCACGGCCCCCAGTGCCAAGGCTGCGGCCCGGGGCTGACCCGCCTGGGCGTAGGCCCGGCTGGCTTCCTGCAGGTAGTGCACGGCCTGCTCCGGCTCCCCCAGTGCCTGGTAGCAGGCTCCCATCTTTGCCTGGGCTTGTCCCTGGTCACCTAGCAGCTGGTAGTGGCCCAGGGCCCTGTGGTACCAGGCCAAAGCTTGAGGCAGGTCCCCCAGGGCTTGGTAGGCCGAAGCCACGTTGAAGCACTGGTCGCCGTGACCCACGCCCTGGGCCTCCCCTTCTGGTTGTGCCCGCAGGAGCAGCTCGAGACCTCTGGCTGGGTCCCCCGTCTCCACATAGGCAGCCCCTAGATTGAAGGCACAGGCCCGGAGAATGGGGGTGTCCCTGGTGTGGGGGGCTTCAGAGGCTAAGAGGAAGGCCCTCTGGAAACTGGCCAGGGCTTCGTGGTTCCGGCCAGCAAGGAGGGCCCCGTGGCCAGCGCTGGTGAGGGCATGGATGCTGGCCTCGCACTGTGGCCACTTCCTTTTCTTCTTTTTTTTCTTGAAGCTTGAGGGCCCAGGCTCCTGGGGTGGATCCTCAGGGTTCGGGGGAGACATAGTGCTGATGGAGGTGGGGGGAGGGAGCAGAGAGTCAGCAAATCCCCCTTGATGCCATCCAAGCGAGATACCCGCAGCTTGGCCGTGGTCAGGCCTGAGAGTCTCCCAGATTCCTCTGTTACCTCAGCTTGTTTCATCTATCTTTGGGCTCTACACTAATTCTCATGTTTAAATTCTTTTTTATTATTTTTTTCTTCTTTTTGGGTCACACTTGGTGATTCACAGGGGTTATTCCTGGCTCATGCGCTCAGGAATTTCCCCTGGCAGTGCTCGGGGGACCATATGGAATGCTGGGAATCGAACCCGGCTTGGCCACATGCAAGGCAAAACACCCTACCTGCTGTGCTATCGCTCCAGCCCCCTGAATTCCTTTTTTTCCCCCTTTCTTTCTTGTTTTTTGTGAGGGCCACATCCAATGATGCTTGGAGCTATTCCCAGTTCATAGCTCAGGGGATCAGGCGGTATTGGGGCAGGTGGTGAGGGTATTGAACTTGGACCTCCTGCGTGCAACTTCTGTGCCTGGCTCATGGAGCCATTCCTCCAGCGCCTTGTATATTTACTGGGTTGGGAGCAATGAGGGGACTGGCACATTTCTTCTCAGTGCTATTCTGCAGATAGCAGTGGTGTCAGTTCTACACCAAGTCTGCTCACTGGTTTTGTTTTGTTTTGTTTTGGAAAGGGCACACTTGGCTATGCTCAGGGCTCACTCCTGGCTCTGTGCACACTTATGATGGGGCTCAGGGGACAGTATGCTGTGCCAGGAATTGAACCTGGGTCAGTCACATTCCAGATTAGCACCTTTCCCGCTGGCTGGACTATCTATCATTTCTTTGTCCCCCCCACTTCCTTATTTATTTATTTATTTGCTGTTTGGGGCCACACCTGTGAGTATTCAGGACTTAGTCCTATCTCTAAGCTCACACGGGGTGCTGGAGATCGAGCCAGGGTCAGCCGCATGCAAGGCAAGTATCCATCACTCCCCTTTCCCCCATGTTAAGGGAACCATTTTCTACTCTTTCTCCTGCCTCGTAAATTCAAATATATTGCTCATGCATACATACACACATACACACACAGACACACATACAAAGATAGATACACACACAGACGTAAAGACACACACAGACACACAGACACACAGACACACACACACACTTCCTGCAAGTATCTCATTTCTTGAAAGGTAGAGCCTTTTCCTGGACAGGAGAGAAAAAGACTACAGGCTCTAAGCACCACCCTTCCCTCCCAGTTTCCCCATTTCTTTGTTTTGGGGCCACACCCAAAGATGCTTGGGCAGGGTACTCATCTAATCCCAGGTTGCTCCCAGGAGGTGGCATCGGAAGCTGAACCCAGGCCTCCCCTCTGTGAAGCAAGAGCTTCAGTCCTTTTGTTCTCCCTGGACTCTCCCCTGCCCTCCAATACCTTTCTCAAGAGGCATTGTTAGAAGAGATATATTCCTCTTTTCAGAGAAAGTCCCCTACTCCTCAGACACCTAGGAATCCTCATCTTCAAGGCCCTGATTGATCCTGGCCACCCATACATCATGAAGTCTCAGCCACAGGGCGACTTACCTCCTCTGAGCTTCTTAAGGCTGACTCTCCGGAATGGCCCCTCTGGCTTGGATTACCTCCCTGGGCTCTTAGCTGAGATCTCTTAAGGTTTCCAGGTACCGCCCATGTTCCCAGGGAATTATTTGATTGACATATCAGATATCCTCTCTCATTAAGAGAGGCACTAAGGCCCAGGGATTCCATTACACTTCCTGTTCCCCAGGTCCCCTGTCCCTATAAGCATAGCTCCCAACTCCTGAAAGTAGCCAGTTACACCCTCAAACATTTACCCCTACTCTCATTTCAGAGTGGGAGCTGGGCCTGCTGCTGTGGCTTGAGTCATAAGCAGTTGTGACTTCCCTGCCTGGGGCTGCGAAGCAGTTGGGTAATTGGGTTTAGAAACCAGGTTTTTCTGATTGTGAGCCAAGGGTCCCTTCCACTACACTGAGATAGCAAGCTTTAATGATGGAATTGGAAATACAGACACAGACACACACAGAGACACACACACACACAGAGACACACACACAGAGACACACACACACACACATACTTATGCTGGGCCCCTGTGGGGTAATTTCCCGTTTGGGAACAGGTTTGATGGTTAGGAAGGGCCTGGAGATCAGATAAGCCTTCCTGCCCCTGGGCTCCTTTCCCCAGCCCCACTGATCTGCAGCCTCCAGGTTCTATTTAATGAGACATCAGGCTTCAGGTCACTGGGCACCTCACCCAGGGAGGCCTGCATCAGAAAGCTAATGTCCTCATTTACCTGCAGGAAAGGCTTCTTTCAAGCCCAGAGGCCTTTGCCAGAAACAAAATGCGAAGGCAGTGTCTCACCTGCATTTGCCTGGCAGACTCTGCAGTCTCTGCCAGCAGCCGTGGGGCTGTGTGCCACAGATGGTGCCCTTTTCCCAAACAGGATTCGCAGCTGCCTGCAGCTTTTGAACAGGGTCGTTAGAGACTGCTCTAGCCTGGCTTCCCTGGCAGTGGTGAGTGGAGGAGAGGGCAGAACGAAATTGCTAGAGAGGAGGAGAGAGCCGGATGGAGTTGCTCTCACCCAACCTCCGACGACCTCACAGGTATCTAGCAATCATTTATGAATTGGAATCTCCGTTTCTGCCTATGTCCTAGGAGAAGGAAATAAGGGATCTTTTTTTTTTTCTTTTTGGGTTACACCCAGTGATGCTCAGGAGTTACTCCCGGCTCTGAACTCAGGCTGGAGCGATAGCACAGCGGGTAGGGCGTTCGCCTTACAAGCGGCCAACATGGCCGACCCGAGTTCAATTCCTCCGCCCCTCTCGGAGAGCCCGGCAAGCTACCGAGAGTATTTGATATGCCAGACGCAGTAACAACAAAGTCTCCAATGGAGACGTTACTGGGCCTGCTCGAGCAAATCGACGATCAACGGGAGGGCCTGAACTCAGGAATTACTTCTGACAGTGCTCAGGGGACCATATATGGGATACTGGGAATCGAACCTGGGTTGGCTGTGTGCAAGGCAAAGGCCCTACCCGCTGTGCTATCATTCTGGCACTCAGTTATAGTTTATTTTTATTTATTTATTTATTCTTTTTTTTTTACTTCCTGTCTTATCCTTCCCTATTCCACCGGGTTGGTGGGGGCTTGATTTTATTCCTCCTTTTCCCTCTCAGGGTGGTGTTCAAGTATAGAGTTCTAGGACTTGTGAGGGAGACCCCATCTGGTTCTTGGCCACCTGTTTTCTACTCACTGACACCTTCTTCTCATCTACCTGGCCTAGGCCCAGAGGCCTCATTCCAAGCACTCATCCAGTATTTCCCTCTGGCTGGATAGGCAGATCTGCCTGGTTCAGATTTTTTTTTTTTTTTTGCCATGTCTGGTGGTGCTCAGTGCTTAATCCTGGCTCTGCACTCGGGAATTACTCCTGGCGGGGCTCAGGGGACCATATGGGATGCTGGGAATCGAACCCAGGGTGGTTACAGACAAGGTAAGCGATCTACCCTGTGTATTATGTTTCTGGCCCCAAAGCATTTTTATGTTTAATTTTTAAAATTTGTTTTGGGGTCACATTTGGCAGTGCTCAGGGATAACTCCTTGCTCTGTACTCAGTAATCTCTCCTGGTGGGGCTTGGGGAACCATGTGGGATGCTGGGGGTTGAACACGGGTTGGCCATGTGCAAGACAAGCACCCTACCCACTGTATTATCACTCCAGCCCCTGCCCAAAAGAAATTTTTAAAAAGTATAGTTATTACAATTTTAAAAAAGCTTAAACCTTTATCTCACATTTGTACTACTACAATAAACTCCCAATTGACCTCTGTCCTCCCATCCTCTGCTCAGTCCCTGCTGCAAAAGGATATTTCTGAAATATAGCCTGACTCTGGCCTATGTCTAAAGTATTGTTTGTCTTCTGATTGCTCCCCATACCTTAACAAGGTGTCCAAGGCCCCAGGAGGCCTGGCCCTGGCGCTCTCCAAACACACTTCCTACCTCTTCCTGTTAGATCTTTGTTCTCCCATGAAAAGGAACTGATGACAATTTCCCGAATACATCTCCTTGCTCTTGCACACACAGTTTCCTCTGCCTGGAATTCTTCTTTCCTTCAATTTGTTAAACTCTTGTTCACTTCTCAACCCAGCCCAGCAGTTGCTTCCACCATCTTCCTGTCTGTCCTTCCTTGCTCTTAATCACAGCCAGCATTTCTTCCCTTCCACTGGGGAAAACAGTGTGTATCACAGACCTCTAACTCTTTTGACTTTGTGAGTGTTACTCACTTCTCTTTCAGTAATTTTCTCTAGGGCATTAACTGTGCTTATTTATCTCTGTGTCTGCACCTCCAAGTTTAGTGCATATCTCCTACAAGGCTCCCCAAGTGAGCCAGACCCGAGAATATTCTAGAGTGGCAGGGGAGGTAGCTCAAAGGGCTAGTGAGCATGAGGTGCAAGCACGAGATATGGTATAGGACCTGCAAGGTCTCTGGAACACCACCACCACCAAGGCCCACCCCACTTCATCTCTCACACATACCCCAAAAAGGGGAAAAATAGAAAGTAGAACTGGGGGTAATGTTAATGGGAATATTGGGGTGCGGGGAGGGAGAAGTGGGGAATCACAGAGGCAGGAGAAAGGCATGGACTAAAAAATAAGGCGTAGCACGGATTGGAGTAATGGTACAGTGGCTAGGGAATTTGCTTTGCATGCAGGAGACCCAGGTTAGATCCATGATATCTCATATCGATGTCGGTGGGCCTCATGGGTGACTTATGTGAAGCAGGGAGGAGAAAGATGGTCACTTTCTCCCCAACTGCCCCTGCCACCCGGGACCCAGGGTTACTGGGTTCTTGTCTTGCCTTGCAGAAAGGAATTTCAGGAGTAGACAAGCAGTGAAATACATAGATTTTATTTGGAGGGTTTTTAAGGTGTGGAGGGGGAGAGAGTGAGAGAGAGTAACGTACTCAAGAGAGAACAC